ATACAATTATAAAACATTTGATATACGATTAAAATAAAATAAAAAAACCTTAATTAATTCATTTTGTGACCGTTTCTAGAAAGATCCGGCTGCGACTAAATTTGACCAGTAAACATGCATAAGAGGCTCTAATAGAAAATTGAATCTTATCACAGAGGAAATACACAACACTATAGATTGATTACATTATGCTCATCCAGCATCGGGGAAATCTAATAAATCTTACGCGGTAGCAGAAGATTGTAACTTGCAAACAGCTTTACACTTTTGTTTCTCCAAATACAAAACAATCAATCATAGTCTAGGATGCAAATATTTACCAGTAGCGATGAAGCCCTTTGGACAATTTCCCACAACAATTAAGCCAGTACGACTCTCCAGTTTTGATAAAACAATAGTCCTTGCGGTTGTAGTGTTAAAAGGCATTTTGTCTTCAGTCTTCGAGATTTCATCGTGAACTTCAACGTTATGTATTTTATTTCGTTTCTGTCTAACTGTGTTCAAATCTAGATCGGTATTTTCGTCGTGATTAGGTTTTATTATAACTTCGACAGTTGATCCTTCTTGACTTATATTCGATTGGTTCGTTTCGACCACACGACTTTCGATAGTAACAAATAATATTACAGGTAAAACAAGCAGACTTAAAAATGACACCATTTTATACATTGTTTAGATTAACACTAAAATTCTTTAAAATTTTAATTAAATGCGATCAGGTACACCGCCGACTGTCTAATAAAAACTCAAAATAGTCACACAGTTTTATATACGAATATGATGAGGACGATGGAGACTTGCTTCACCCAATCAAAGTCCTTCTGTTGACAGTTTATCCTTTGTGTTACGTCACACTTGCATCGATCATTAATTAAAGTGATACAGGTTTTTTCCTATATTTAAATTAGATACATTTACCATATACATACATTTACCACTATAATAATATGAATATAAGAAATATTAGTTAGGTCTCATCCAATGATATTGACGATTTCATCAAAAGAATTATTATAGATTTTCTTTTTATTATTTTGACATTATTAATCAAAGTTTTCACCGATTCAATTGATGCGCTCTTGTTCAATGATGCCTTTTTTGAAGAAATCATTGCATTTTTCAAAGGCCTCTCGGCTATTGAATTATTGGCCTACCAAGATGTTATTAAAATTCTGAAAGTCCATAGGGGCAACGTTTTCGAGGTGAGTACCACAGATGACGGCGAACTTTCAACCCCATCTTAATGAATTAAAATTTCGATTTGAGAAATTACACCGGAGTTGACTACTAAGCCGTGATCATCACTTTTCTAGGGGTAAACTTTGGTTTAGGTGCTGAACCAGAATCTAACCAAGTTGCTGAGTGCTTGTGATTGTCAAGAAGCCATTTTCATTTTTCTTAGCGGGTAACATAAATGTTTTATCTGTGTGCTTGTTAAGTCGACACATCAGTCAGCACGTCTTAACGATAGGGTTTAATGTGGCATTAACTGTTAAGTAGCAAATGTTTTAAGGAATTACTTGAAAACCTTATATTTATTCAGAAAAAATAAACATAGCGTTATAACTTAACTATTAAACTTAAAACTGATTTGACTTGTATTGACATATGAATTAAATATAGCTCTACACTCATAAATAAAGGTTAAGAAAGCTAAAGTATAGCCTATTAAAAGTACAATAAATATTTCCATTAGTTCAGCCAATGTTTCTGAATTTTCGTGTTCATCTATTGTGTAATAATATTTAAGACGATCCATATACAAAAGTACACCCAAATGTCTCTTTATAATACCGCTCTCTGCACTTAGTTCATTAATTTTACTACAAGAGCTTAAAAATGGCGTACCGCGACGAAAATATGTCCCTCTTTGCAGATTGACTATGGGTTCCGATATTGGATATGTTAGAAGTTCTCCAGATTTGTCAATAACTTTCCACGAATATGTTTGATACGCTATTTCTGGTATTACGGTATATAAATTTTTCTTTCTGTCTTTTACTTCTGTCAAACATTCAAGGACAGATTGACATTCTAATGTTTGATTTATACCAAAGATCGATTGCCACGACCAACTTCTCAAAGGCTTGCATTTTGTAAACGCCTCTTGCAAATTGTTGATTTGACGACCTCTTATCGGTGTGGTTGTTGCACTTGAAAGAAAAGCCTGAATCAAAAACGTAATGAAAAATACAAATAAAATTAATAAAGCCACTAAAAAACGATACACGCTGCCAGTTTTCATATATCTGTTACGCATATTGCCACAAATGTAACCAATCACAATAAGAATGCCAAGAGAGACGTCTCTCTTTTTTCTAGTGAAAATAGAAAAATGTATTACAACATAACAAAAGAAAATAAGGAACATCAAAATAATGACAGACGTATACCAATTAAATTGTACGAAGACAGATTCCCAGCTGGTAAGCATACGAGCTCTAGCTACTACTGCGAGTTGCTGATCTATAAGGAACGGAAAAGTATAATCTAAAGCTTTAGCTCGAGAAAGTGATATAGTGTATCCACCAATTGCACCGTCCAATTTCTTTTCTTCTAACCAACTAAGCATTCCCGTGAAGGTATAGTTTCTTGTAACCCTCCCATACATTTGATCCTTCTCATATCTCAGCATCTCAACTGTCACGCCTGCATGATCGCACCATAATTGCATTATCAAATCATTGACACCATATAAAAGCATATCTGTCTTGAGTATCTTATGGACTGGATAGGACTTGTTCTGAGAGTTATTGAAATTGACAAAAGGCCAAAAGTGATGAGCCACCATTCTGATATGGCATCCACGAAAATTGGCATTTTTCTTGACGTTAAAAACTTTAACATTACGAGTCAGCTTTGAGCACTGTGTGATGGATTGTAGTACTTTAATAACTGGTCTACCGCAAGCATCTACATCACGATTGAATGTCTTAATATCGTAATCATTTACTGTTCTGCTAATAACAGTTGCATTAAACATATTATTTTCATACAATTGATTTGATAACGTGTTTAGATTCCCATCTATATTATTTTGTATGACGATAATAAATTTAGCTCTCGGATTCCAAAAGAAGTCCTTCCTGAGTGATTTAATCCCGTTTTTTAATTCGACATAATTATCGCTATTAATAATGTAGAATGGATTCCTCAATGGATTTTCGGGTCATAGAAAAGTTCGGGAAATATATGTTAAATTGTTAAGTTTGGTGAACAACTTCCTTTCATAGAGAAATGCGCTTGGTCTCGGAAAGAGCTCGCAGTTTGCACAATAGAGATCGAGAAAGTAGTTTCGATTATCGCCAACTCGTGTTGCCTGCATACTCCACAGGCGTATCGCAGATAAGTTTTCATAAGGTATAATGAAGTAGCTGTCTTCCCACGATTTTGCCGCAAAATTATAGCCTATGTAACATCCGTAATGTAACTTCCCGTAGATAGAATCGCTCTGAAACTATCGGTCCAGTAGTTTTTGGGCAAATTCGATGCAAACAAACAAACAACCAAATCTTTCCTCTTTTGAAAGATTTGATTGTTTGTTATTATTAGTATATCTTAGTTATAAGAAGGTCCGATGGCGTAGTGGGTTAGCGCATTTGATTTAAATTGCAGTTTAAATTGCATTACATGGAAAAAAGGACAACAAATAGCCGATTGTGCATGCAACAAGATAAATAATAAAAAGATCAAAAACAAAAGAAGGACAGTTTCAAGGTACGAATAAAATTCTCAGACACAAGCGACAACCAGAGCGCGAGAAACAAGAAAAAAGATAGAAAATTACATTCGTAAGGACAGGATAGGTGACCAAAACATTATTATCCTGAGCACTGTGCACAACACTGGCACAATGTACGTTAAGCCGTTAGTCCTGGCTGCTTCAGCAACATTAACACCCACCGATCCGCATTAAATTATAGCCCATTGATCTTATTTGATTCGACTCCATCCATAGGAATAAAAGAATTCTACCAAAATACTTCCCACGCAGACGAAGTTGAGGGCACAGCTAGTAAAATATATAAGTGCTCAATTTAATTACAAACATACATAAATATATTTTATGACAATGAAGGCTGTATTATCGACAGCAGGAGCGTAGACTGTAGTTTTATTTAAATTAAAGAGATAAATTAGTAAGTAAATTATTTGTAATTGTTCAAAATACGTACAAACAAACAAGAAAGACGACAGATAGCAATAGCAATAAACATTAAGTGATAAACTCATATAAAATTCAAATAAAAATATGTTAATTTTTTTATCGAAAGAGACAAAGCTGTCGTCAACAGGTCGACTAAAATTTGTAACGATTAATAAGGCATAAAATACTTAAATTGGGACAATAGAAAAATCGGTGAAATCAGACAAATCAATTAATACTTAACAGAGATAGAAACATTTGCATTGTACTTGCTTGTTTCTATTTTATTGTCATCAAATATTTTTTAACAGTGATCCCTAGAAAAAGTTGTCTTAGTTTATAATTATGCCAATTTATTAGAAAAAAATAAATAAAAAAAATTAGATGATAGTATTGGCATCCTAGAAGCCAAAAATGGGAAAACCTTAAAAACGTCGTAATGTAGCTTTACCACGTTGTACTTCGGGGGCAGCGATTATAAAAATACATAACCGTCGTAAATTAAAATTTAACAACTGTAACAAAGACTTTTGCTTTTCGATTTTGAAGTCATTTCATAATAGTAGTGGGCGCCGGACACGAGGCAACACAGATGGCACACGCCTAATTTTGAAACATAGAATAAGACAGGTTTTCCCCTAATATCAACAATTTAATCAGGCTATTAAAACCAATGTTTCACTTATTGTTTCGTCACGCAATCTGACTCAGAACTTGTCAAGGGAACTTGCGTAGACACATACACCGGTATTTTACATTAAAATTTATTACTAAGACAACGCTACATATATAAAGTATCGCTTGGTAGATCAACAACATTTTGAACGTGCGCTTTGAATACATCGCAGCCAAAATGGCCGTCAAGTGGATCGTTGTGCTGTGTTTATTTGTTGTGGTAGTGAGCTGTCGTTTTGTGGATATGCCTGCAAGGGACTTTCCATCGGAAAGAAGGGACAAGGAATTATTTGGTCCTAATCCAGACATTTTTGCGGAAGAGCCTCACGGTGATCTTGGAAGGAGAGTGTATCGCAAGACTAATGTTCCTGTGCATCCATCGACGGTTAGAGTGAAAGATAGTGATGTGCCTCGTATAGAAGATCGTTTTGCAGTTAGGGGTGGTAATTGTCCAGCCGGTTATGTAGCTAGAGGTGGATTTTGTTTCCCAGATTACGATTAATTAAATTAACATGTCCTTAGTTAATTAAGTACTTATTTATTATTTTGTTAGTTTGTAAATTAAATATATTATTATGAAACTTTTGTTTCTTTTTCAGTTCCCGTTAGCTTTTTATTGGAGAATAGATTATCTATATACGTTATTACTTTTCTATTTGATTAGTAAACTATTATAAAATAATTAAGTATAACACTATGATATCTATCAATGTAATTATAACTTTTCAATACTCACAAAATAAAGGTTTTTTATTTCAATATTTGTCTAGTAGTGAATTTTATTTGATTATTATGTCATATCTCAAACATTTACTGGGACCGAAGTTTATTTTTTTTACTCTGAGATAAAAATTATTTTAAATGTCACTAAATTATTATTAATTGGTTACAATTTTGTATTTTTGACAATTTCATAAGGTTCAAATCCGTCCCAAACCTTCAGGGAAGTGGAGATTTTGATTAATTATTGAGAAAAACTCTATTTCTTTAAACTTTAGTTATTATGTGGATTAACGACCAACCGGTAGGTTTCCAATTTTTATGTACTCGACTCTGTAGGTATAATAAATAGAAGCAATGAACATGCAGCTTGGGACGACAGAATGAGATGAGACTACTAGTAGACAACCGTATAAAAATGTAATTAGGTTTACACAAAAAATTGAAAATGTATCAATATATTTCATCACTTATTACGGAATCCATCAGCACTGAAGATGGAATAGAAGCTGGCAGTCAAGAACAAGAAGAAAATACAGATTTTTTTCTTTCATCCAGTCTACATAGAAGCTCTCGAACATCTTATAAAAAACGCCGCGTCACCCCAACCGACGCAGAATTAATACCTAAATACCGACCAGAAGAACAAAACAACAACGTGATTGGGTGGTTACATAAGATTGATCAACTTGGTGATATTTATGGTTGGAACAGTAAGGATCGGCAGTTTATTATGCAATTACGCCTGCGTGGATCTGCGAGGGATTGGTATGAAGATTTAGAAGATTACAATCTGACTTGGAAGCAGTGGAAAACAGCGTTGCAAACGGCGTTCCCTCGATCTACAGACTTTGTTGACAAGTTAGAACATATGTTATCCAGATCAAAAGCGGATAACGAAGCAATGACAAAATATTACCACGATAAATTGTCATTACTTAGAAAGTGCAAAATCGACGGAGTAGACGCCATTTCATGCATTATTCGAGGACTACCGGCAGAGCTACGAAATAATGCAAAGGCCTATAAGTGTGAAACGCCTGAACAACTGTATTTTGGATATCTGTCTTCGCTAGAAAATTTCAAACGGGTGGATGCAGCTTATACATCACGCAAGACTATATGGAAGAGAGGAAACGCAAATTCTTCGTCTGCAACAACGACACAGCTTGCTCCGAGGGTGTGCTTCGTGTGTCGTCGCGGCGGGCACGAGGCACGGGACTGCAGGTTCCAGCAGCGCTGTGAGACTTGTCGCCGTGTTGGACACACAACGGCATCCTGCTGGTTCGCTCCGGGTTCTTCAGGTCAACAAGTACAACAGGTTAGCGATATATTACATATCACTTATGATATTTATTTAGATATTTACAAGCGCATAGTGGTTGTAAATGGGATAAAATTAATTGCTTATATTGATACTGGCAGTAAGCTTAATATTATCACAATTAGTGCCGCGAAGAACTTACAACTTAAAATTCAGCCGTCAGCCACAGTAATGAAAGGATTTGGGGGAAGTTGTTTACGATCACTAGGCAGATGCGAAATTATGGTATTGATTGATGGTATAGGATTGAAAGGTAATGTGGAAGTAACAAATTGCAGTATAGCTGACATAGACTTAATAATTGGACAAACAATGATAAATCAGGATAACATTAGCTTAGTTACTACGGCTACCTCTGCGAATTTTGTTCCTTCTAGCAATGTTATGGAAGTGTTACCATCATTTCAGCTGACTCAAGATGAAATGATTACAAAATTTCCCGTATATTTAAAAAATAAGGTTAAAATTCCTAAGCGCAGTCACGCATTTGTTGAGACGGTAATAGAATGTAACAACAATACTGATCCAGAGCTTACGTGTCTTACTCATGCAGTGTATTTCGAATTAGGGAATATGTCATATTTTATTCCAGAGACTATTATTAAATTAAATCATCCTTTTCTAAAAATAATTAATGTAGGGGACGAAGACATTATATGGGAAGCTAATAGGCTGGTAGCAAGGGTGGAATTGATTAACAGTCAAGATTTTAAAATAAGTTCTAACATTTGTATGGTTAGTAAGGGTGAGCCTAGTAGATCAAACATTCGGCAGTCAGATATTAATGTGGGCGACATTAATGACTTTGAAATGAAAATACTACTGCAGTTGCTTAATAGATATGTTGATTCTTTTGCTAGGGATACTAAAGATTTGGGTTGCACAGATTTGATTGAAATGCATATTCAGACTAACACTAACCAGCCTGTTTACTGTAAGCCCTATAGACTATCCTATAAGGAGAACGAAATAGTAAATGAAAAAGTGAAGGATCTATTAGACGCTGGCATAATTAGGGAATCATTTTCAGAGTACGCTAGCCCAGTTGTTTTAGTCAAGAAGAAGGGGGGAGATTATAGGCTTTGTGTCGATTATAGGGCCCTAAATTCGCGAACAGTGAAAGACCGTTATCCACTACCTCACATCGAAGACCAAGTGACTCGGTTGTCTGGGAAATGTTTCTTTACAGCATTAGACCTTGCCCAAGGCTACTATCAGGTCCCGATTGGTGAAGAGTCTACTAACAAAACTGCGTTCGTTACACCGTCAGGGCAGTATGAATTTCTAAAAATGCCATTCGGTCTGGCGAACGCACCGGCTGTTTTTTCAAGACTCATCCAGATGACTCTAGGTAAAGTTCGCAATGAAATAGCCCTTTATTTGGACGATGTTATGATCCCGTCTCTAAGTGTAGAAGAGGGATTAAAATTATTAGAGCGAGTTTTGCAGTTATTAAAGGAAGCAAACTTAAAACTAAATTTAAAAAAATGTTCTTTCTTAAAGTCTACTGCTTCGTATTTAGGTCATGAAATTAGCGCAGGTACGATACAACCAGGACAAGCGAAAGTTAAATGTGTTGCTGATTATAAAAGACCCAGGAATGTCCATGAAATAAGACAGTTTATAGGTTTAACGTCCTATTTTAGAAAATTTATCAAAGGTTTCGCTGAAATAGCTCGCCCGCTCACAGAACTCACAAAAAAAGGAGTTGAGTGGCACTGGGGCCCAGATCAAGACGTCGCTTTCGAGTCATTGAAAAATCGACTGATAGAGAGGCCGGTGTTAGGGCTGTATGATAAGGATGCTAGGACAGAGCTTCATACTGACGCCAGTAAGAACGGCTTAGGAGGGATACTTTTGCAGGAGCAGAGGGACGGTAGTTTAAAACCAATTATTTACTTTAGTAGAGTCACTTCTATCGAAGAAAAGAACTATCATAGTTATGAGCTCGAAACGCTTGCAGTAGTGGAGTCACTTAAACGGTTCCGAATTTACTTAACTGGAATACCAGTAAAAGTAGTTACAGATTGTGCTGCCCTCAGAACTACCTTGGTAAAAAAGGACCTAATTCCTCGCATCGCCCGGTGGTGGCTAACAATCCAAGATTTTAATTTAGAGATAGAATATAGGCCTGGAAAACGTATGCAACACGTTGACGCTCTGAGTAGAAATCCAATTCCACCTTCAGTACTTATTATTGAGAACTCTGATTGGTTACTTACTTTGCAAATGCAGGATGAAAACATCCAAAGTATTTTGTCCCAACTGCGTAATCCAGAAACGAATCCGGATATCAGAGCTAATTACATAGAGAAAGATGGTATCTTGTTTAGAAAAACTTTGGACGGGGAGAGATTTGTAATTCCAAAATTAGCTAAGTATGGGTTGTTACAAAAGATGCATGACCAAATAGGGCACCCGGGTTTTGGAAAATGTGAAAATTCCATTAAGTTACAGTTTTGGTTTCCCAAAATGACCCGTTTCATACGCAAGTACATCAACTCTTGTTTACAATGTGCTTTTGGAAAAGGTAACCATGGTAGAATAGAAGGAGAGCTCAATCCTATTCCTAAGGTTGCCGTCCCTATGCATACATTGCATGCGGACCATCTAGGCCCATTTGTCAAGACCCGCCAAAGAAACGCCTATGTCCTGGTAGTAATAGACTCTTTTACAAAGTTTGTATTTGCGAAAGCTGCTAAAAACTGTAGTTCGATTGAAAGCATCCAAATTATGAAAGAAATTTTCTATCAATTCGGAAATCCCTCAAGAGTAGTTACTGACAGAGGAAAAGCATTCACAAGCCGTTATTTCAAACAATTTTCTGAAGAGATGCAGTTTAAACATATTTTAAATGCTATAGCGAGTCCCCGTTCGAACGGTCAAGTGGAAAGAGTCAATCGCACTTTATTGAACGGGCTAAATACAATGACAGAAAGCGAATGTACATGGGATAATAAATTGCCTGACGTTGTCTGGGGTATTAACAATACTCCCAATGCTACTACGGGCATTACTCCGTTTTCTCTTATGTTTGGTCATAATAATTCACGTTTCCCGGCCTATCCCATAGATGCTCCTCTAGATTCAGAATCCCAGAGACATAATCTAGAAGATAGAAGGCAAACTGCTAAATTGCGCATAGATAGAAATATGACTCTCATGAAAAGTAGGTTCGATAAAAGACATAAGAAATGTACGAAATATAACGTTGGACAACTTGTTTTATGGAAAGGGGGAGTATCTAGAGATACCTCTGCTAAAGTCACAAGGAAACTCGATGGTTTATATACAGGTCCTTACAAGGTATGTAAATCCGATCATTTGTTAAATCGTTACACTATAACCAGCATCAAGGGTATGAAGGGTTATAGACGATTTAGTGCAGTTGTTACAGGCGAATCCCTTCGGCCCTACAAAACTACTATTTCAGATGATGACACTTCTGGTAGTGACCA